CATAAGCCAGCTGAGCACTTGTCCAGGTTATTAATATTGAATAACATCTTGGATGGGGAGTGTTGGGGAATCGCAAATTTTGGCTGATTTACATTGTAGATTTATAACAGTGTGCCTACACGTGTTTAACCCGCACGGTCGCCAGGAGGCATCTCTCTCACAACCCATTTCTGCTACAAGAGGAACACCTGCTCATTTTCATAAGTGGCCCACATTCGAAAGTATACATTTGGGAAGCTTTTACTGGAAACATCTGTACTCTGTAATGTGTCAAATGTGACAGTTTCTCCATAGGATCTACCTCCATGATGCTTACAATCTCTAATTCAGACTAATGAGCTATAGTTTAGACATGGATCTAATTATGTGGGTCATTAAGACCCACATTGTGATGGTGTTTTATGATCTGATGAGCTATATACAGTTTACATTCACTGCAAACACTATAAGCAGTTTATGTGAAAAGGAAGAAAAGAGAAGGTTGAATTTAGAATGTAATACAGGGCAATATAACACCAAGTAATGTACAACGTCAAGCGATATTTGATAGATTATTGTGATCTCTGGTATTAAAGTCACAAGTGATACATGCCCATCTGCTCTAAATGGCACACTGTGTTTTGCATTATCACTGAATGTTGGCATCAGATATTAATCATGAGGCGCTTAACTGTCCAAGGGTAACACGATTCTTTGGTTAGTTGGATGCGGTCCCTGTCACACCGACTATTTTTGTACCAGCATCTACACACAGTGATTTTTTTTTTTTAACTGTGCCTGCTTGTTCAAATTACAGTAGCAAAACTGAGCAGGGGTGCGTTTAGTGGTCTGATATGCACATACATTCCCCCCAAAAACTTTTTCTTCCCTCACTTTTTTAATCATATAATTAATAAATGAGCGCATAACACAAATTTGATATTGAAAATGTGATGGAAACATATAATAATTTAAAACTGGTGTCATTAAATGGAATGGCTAATGTGGCAGATGATGAAAAAAGCAGAAGCTCCTTAGTCATCTGCTTGATCTGACATACTTACCCTCTCGGGAAAGATCAAGGCTTTCTCAATACTCAGCCTCTCTGCTGAGCACCCAAATGTCTTTTCTTCTTCATCACACTTGCAGCATCCTATTTTTAGATAAAAGCTATCCCGCCGGGG